AGCTCCAGTTGCCAACATTTGAGAGTCTACAGTCATCCGAGGGAGCCCCAGTTGAGGAAGCACCTCCACCAGAATGATTGGCTGCTCTGTCTGTGAGAAGTTATGCTGATTGATGATTAATATGGAAAGGCTCTTCCAAAGAAGGTGGCAATATCCCTAAGCAAGTAGGCTTGGTTGGATAAGAGAGCTAACTGAGCATGACATAATGACCAAGCGAGAGAGCAAGCCAGGAAACAATGTTTGCCCATGGTTTTTGCGTTAATTTTCTTGAAGCTTGATTTTCTATCCTAAGCTCCCGAAATGTGGAAAATATCAGACTTGAGATGGCATGAGACATAAAAAGCTGTACACAGAGCCTAGTCAGCTGTTCTTGTAGGACCTGGAAGATCGACGTATTAAGAGTAATGCAGAGGGAGCTGAGAACATAGAATTTCAGTGGAAAGCAGACTTCATTAAAATTTAGTTAGAGGTCATTTGTGTGATATTTTGACCCAAAATCTGCCTGTGCCCTGAGAAATTGAATAAGGCAGAATTTAAAAATAATGGGCTGATTTCTAAGATGGAGTATTGAATCTGTTTGATAGCTATTGCTAGTTACTCATTCAGGACTAAATGGAAAAAAAAAAAAAAGCAACAAGTGGGGCAGAAATAAATGCCAAGTCTGTTGGTTGTAGAGAAAAACAACATTGGGTAATTTCACTTGTCAGTCAAATGCTGAAACAGGCAGGGATTTTCAAGATTATCACCATTAAAAGTAAGACCCTTGCTCTGGATATGAAGCCTAAGAAGGTGCCCAAAAGGTAACATTCCCTCCTACTAAGTCTTTAATTAATGGAAGGAGTAGCAGAGTGATTCCTAGTCCCAGGAAGGAACTTCATACAAAACCTACTACAACTGGTCCAATCGTGGCATTGTCCATCCTAATTTAGAAGCCAGACATGGCAGGATCACCCATGCTGTGCTGGTTCTGGAAATAAGAAAGCTGCACGGATCCTTCCTCCGTGGTTTCAGCTCAGCACCATTCCTGCCATCTGTGTTTGGCAGTCTCAGAGCCCCAGTGAGGGAGGCTGCTGTGAGAGTGCATTGCATGAAGCTGTGAAGATGAAGCCCGAGTTGTGTTTTGAGATAAAAAAATGTTGTGATACCCAAGCTATGATACACTTGCCATAGAGAATTGCATACAGGGAATGGAAGTAACCAAACAGAGATGTATGAGAAGTTACAGGGATAGGGCCATTTAAGCATTTTGAAAATGAGGCCTGATGGGTCTGAAACAGCTACAGGATTTGTTGTTTGCCCTGCTGGGTTTCTTGGTCCAACCTTCTCTCACTGGGTACACATTCCTCTTTATTGGAATGGGAATGGGTATTCTGTGCCATATTATGTTGGAAAGATATACCTTGTTTTATGATTTTATAAGAGCTGGAAGTCCAGAGATTGTCTTGAGTGGTATAAGGGATGTTGGACATTTGAACAGTATGCAGGCTGTTGCAGACTATTAGGATCACTGAAGTTAGATTTAATGTATTTTCTTTTATTTAAGTTTATTTACTTTTCATCCCATAGATGCCCCTTCCTCCTCTCCGCCCAGCCCCCTCCTTCCCCTATCCTTTTCCCCCAAGAAAAGGGAAGCCCCCCTTGTATCAACCTCCCCAGCACAGCAAGTCATGTCAGGACTAAGCATATCTTCATCCCTTGAGGCCAGGCAAGGCAGCTCTGCCAGAGGGAAGTGATCCAAAAGCAGGCAATAGAATCCGTGTTAGAAAGAGCCTCCCGTTTCACTCATCAGGCCCCCCCATATGAAGACCAAGCCTCCCATCAGCCACATGTGTGCACGAGGCCTAGGTCCAGATCGTGCATGCTCCTTAGTTGATGTCTTGATCTCTGTAAGCTTCTGTGGGTCTGGGTTAGTTGTCTCTCTTGTCTTCTTGTGGGGTTCCTGTTCTCTCTAGGTCCTTCATCTTTCCCTCAACACTTCCACAGCACATCCAGAGCTCTATCCCATGCCTGGTCGCAAGTCCCAGCATCTGTCTCAATCCTCTGCTGTCTGGAGCTTCCCAGACAACACTCTTGTTAGGCTCCTGTCTCAAAGCATAGCAGAGCATCATTAATATTGTCAGGGGCTGGCTTTTTACTGTGGGGTGGATCTCAGATTGGACCAATCATTGGCTGGAGTTTTCCTCAATCTCTGTTCCCTCTTTATCCCTCCACTTCTTGTAGGCAGAGTAAGTTTTGGATCAAAGGTTTTGTGGGTGGGTTGTTGTTCCCCTCCCTCCACTAGTCCTGCTTAGCTAGGAGGTGGTCACTTCAGTCTCCATGTTCCCCCCTGTTGGGAGTCTCAGCTAGAGTCATACCCATTTTCTCCTGGGGGCCTACCCTGTCACAGATGTCCACATTGTCAAAGAGATGACCCCTCAGTTTCTCTTCTTGTTTCCAGTACTCTCACCTCCCACCACCGGTCTACCCACATCTGATTCCTACTCTTGTTGCCCTCCCCATTCCATTTCCTCCTCAGTTCCCTTTATCCACTTCTGCTGTCTGTTCTAGTTCCCCTTCTGTGTGATGTTCGGGCAGCCTCACTTGGGCACTTCTTGTTACTTAGCTTCTTTGAGTCTGTGGATTGTAGTATGGTTAACCTGTACTGTAGGTCTAATATCTGCTTATAATAATGAATTTTATGAATAAAGCTGCTATGAACATAGTTGAGCAGTGTCCTGAAAGAGCATCTTTCAGGTGTATGCCCAGGAGTGGTATATCTGGGACTTGAGGTAGAACCATTCCCAATTTTCTGAGAAAGTGCCAGATTGATTTCCAAAGTGGTTGTATAAGTTTATACTCCCACCAGCAATGGAGCAGGGTTCCCCTTTCTCTACATCCTCTCCAGCATGTGTTGTCACTTGAGTTTTTGATCTTAGCCATTCTGATGGGTATAAGGTGGATTCTCAGGGTCGCTTTGATTTGCATTTCCCTGATGCTTAAGGATGTTGAGCATTTCTTTAATTAAGTGTTTCTCTGTCATTCAATATTCCTCTATTGAGAATTCTCTGTTGAGCTCTGTACCCCATTTAAATTGCATTACTTGGTTTGTTAGTGTTTAATTTCTTCAATTCTTTATATATTCTGCATATTAGCCCTCTATCAGATATGGGGTTGGTGAAGATTCTTTCCCAATTTGTAAGTTGTCCTTTTATTCTGATGACAGTGTCCTGTGCTTTCCTACTTTTTGTTATTTTGATGTTGGTGGTTGTAGTGTGTGTGTGTGTGTGTGTGTGTGTGTGTGTGTGTGTGTGTGGTGTGCCTCCCCTCTTTTGGTTTTGCTATTGTGGGATATTTATTTCCTGTGTTTTCCTGGGTGTGATTAGCCTCCTGGGATTTGCTTTTCCTGTCTAGTAGCTTTTGTAGGAGGAACATTTCTAGATTTCTTATTGGGGGTGGGATTGGCTATCTATAGACTCAGTCCATTTCTTCTTCTTTCTCTCTCTTTTTTTTTTTGTGTGTGTGTCTACTGTGTTAAGGTTGAAACTGATCAGTCAGCTTCCTTCTCATGCTCAATTCTAAATCGCATAGGTTGCATTATTCAGTGCTATTTTGCAAGCCTGATGTTTTTCAATTTTTAATTTTGTTGTTTTTGTTTCTGAAGATAGAGTTTCACTGTGTAGCCCTGGCTGTCCTGACAGTCAGTATGTAGACCAGGCAGGCCTAGAACTTAGAGATCCACTCGATTCTGCCCCTAGAGTACTGGCATTAGATGTGAGCCAACGTGCCTGACTTTTTGTTGTTGTTCATTTTTATATCATTGGCTAATGAGCCTGGAATATAGGTTTTTGTCAAGCATATGCTGTTGTGCTGTACTTCATCCACTTCCTGAATTTTGAATTTGGCAGAGAGAATATTCTCTTTCTCAGGATGGCAGGAATTTATGATATTATACTACCAGAGCTTTCTATGTTATTGAATTGCAGGTATGTAATATTCTTCCTACCTGCTGTGTTTGTTTTGATTTTTTTTTCTTTTTCAAGATGGTTTATATGTGTATCCTTGGCTGTCCTAGACTTGCTTTGTAGACCAGGCTGACTTCAGACTTACAGAGATCCACCAGCCTCTACCTCTCCTAATGTTGAGCTTACAGGTGTGCAGGCCCACCTTGTTTTTTTAAAAAAATGATTATGAGTATTTTTTCTGTATGCATGAATATGCACCTCATGTGTACCTGATCCGCATAGTAGTCAGAAGGTGGCCTTGGATCTTCTGAACTTGGACTGGTGGATGGTTGTGAGCCCCCGTGTAAGCACTGGCAATTGAGCAGCAGGACCAGCAAGAACCTTCACTTCTGAGCCATCTTCCCTTCCCTGTGTTGCTTATTTATGACCGCTACATTGCTAATACTTTCATTTGTCCATATGTAACTGTTTAAACATGCTTTCCTTTTAATAAGATTTTATTAATGATACAGTTTAAACTGGGGGCACTTCAGCATTCTGGAAGATGAATACAGAACTGGAGTGAATGTATAATTTTTTTTGTAGGAACTTCAGTAAAAACTTCTGTGTTCTTTCTATTTTTTCTTGTTTGATTTTTGCAGGAGAGACAGGGTGTTAATATGTACCTATCGCTGTACTGGAACTCATTGCATAAACCAGCCTGGCATCCAACTCAATGAGATACACCTGCTTCTGCCTCCTGGGTGCTGGGATTAAAGGCAAGAGTCAATATACCCAACGTGACCATCAGTTTTTGTAGTTAGTAATTTTTCTACAATTTCTCTGATGTGTGCTCAGTACTGCTAACTTGTCTCTCTTTTCTTATGTCTGTTAATTGGCATTTCTCTTACAAGGCTATATCCTATTCAAAGGACGAAAAAATGACAGAGGTGAACTTTATTATTCAGGAAATAAGTCGGAGAAGCACCAGAATTATATGAATATATTGTCAATGAAGTATACATTTACAGTGTTGTCAGTATCATGTTTTCTGTTGTACACATGTATGGGATATTTTAGACTGCAGTGACCTATGATGATGTGCACGTGAACTTCACTCGAGAAGAATGGGCTTTGCTGGACCCTTCCCAGAAGAGTCTCTACAAAGATGTAATGCTGGAGACCTACAGGAACCTCACTGCTATAGGTAAGACTGGATTTTCTTTCACTTTTTGAAGTAAGGAGACAACTCTTTCTTTGTTATTAGTGCTCTTCTGTAATTCCAATTGAGAATGAGGGAAAATTAGGTGAATAATACTATCTTGAGGTTCACTGAAGATAGAAACTTAAATTTTGCCTATTTTCCAACAATATATCATACATTTCTGATACTATATTTCAGGTTATAATTGGGAAGACCATAATATTGAAGAACATTTTCAAAGTTCTAGAAGACATGGAAGGTAATTATTATCTGCAAGCTGATATGAATAAGCCTCTGAAGAAATTTTAATATGTCTCAGAAGTTTTAAAGAAAAGCAACAGTGAAAAGAAAACACTGCTTTAAGTATATCAATGATTATTAAAATCTCACAAAACCACATACTTCAATGTCAAGTATCTGATTTGTGTTTGCAAGGTATTCCTTTAAGAAAGAAGACAAGGAAATAATGCCTTAATATGTGTTACTGTTTGAATCATAGCTACTCTGTAGAACTGCCAATCTGTTTAGTCTCGTACCACTCACATATCATAAAAGATATACACATTGAATAGGTGATAAGTATGTGTTCAAAACCTTCTCTTAAGCAAGCAGTCCATAGTAAAGCTGCAGATACTTGTATACCTGTAGTGACATTACTAAGTTCAGTGAGGTGTCAGTTTATGAGAGTCAATAATGTTAGGGTGGAGAAACTTCAATCCCATACCACATGTCTATGAGGAACAAAAAGTCAAACTATGTGAATGCAATGTGGAAATCTTTTGTTTGTTATTCTTCTTTTAAAAGCTATATCATATGTCACAATAGATAGAATCCATGTGAGCATAGGGATATTGAAAGAAGCAATGTATCTCTTTTCTTCCAGAACAATTAGAAGATATATAATAGTCTCCACTTTGAGTAGACTTTCTGAGTGTGGTACAAGTTTATAATTGGTTGTTTTCCAACTTCATTGGGTATAAAGCCTCCAACACCAACTGCAGAAAATCCCTATGAATACTTAGGAATTAGAAATTTTTCTCTGTCCTTGTTCACTTTGCAAATATAGCATTAGTCACACAACAGGAAAATTTGTGAATGCAATCAGTGTGGTAAATCTCCGAGTACTTCCGTTCTCTTCAAATAAGTGAAAAACCTCATATAGAAAAAGGGTGCTATAAATGTGAGCTATGTAATAAGTGCTCTTATTATCACGGGTATCTTCAAAGATGTAAAACAACCTATAATGAAAGGAAACAGCATCAATGTAAAGAAAGTGATAAAAGCTAAGATCTGAGTTCTCTTTACCATTAGACAAAATTATAAAATTAATTCCTACAGATAAGAAGATTCATCTGTGTAATGAACGTGGTAAAGCTTTCACATGTACCAATTATCTTTGCAGGCATGAAAGAAGCCATACTGGAGAGAAACCCACTGAATATACTCAATGTGGTAAAGCCTTTGCATATCCAAGTTATCCTCAAAGGCATGAAATAATTCATACTGGACAGAAACCCTATGAAGGTATTCAGTATGGTGAAGCCTTTGCACATCACAGTAGTCTTCGAATACATAAAAGCACACATACTAGAGAGAAACCCTACAAATGTAATCAATGTGATAAATCCTTTTCACAACATAGTTATCTGAGAACACATAAAAGAACACATACTGGAGAGAAGCCCTATGAATGTAATCAATGTGGTAAAGCCTTTGTATATCACTGTTATCTTCGAATACATAAAAGAACACACACTGGAGAGAAACCCTACAAATGTAATCAATGTGATAAAGCCTTTTCACAACCCAGTCATCTTCGAATGCATAAAAGAACACATACTGGAGAGAAACCCTATCAGTGTAATCAATGTGGCAAAGGCTTTGTATGTCACAGTCATCTTCAAAGGCATGAAAGAATT